CACGCCCCTACCTGCCACGCTGACTCATTCGGGCACGGACTTGGATCGATAAAACCGTTCTCATATCGGCGAAGTTTGAGGCCAGATGGACTCAGCAGGTGGTCCATCCAGCGCGGACCGGAAACTTCGGACCAGCCGCTTGACCGCGTCCAGCTGAGCATGGATGGAAACATGAAGACGCGGCCGAAAAAAAACTAATTTCGGCTCAAAAACGGGACAGATAGGTTTGATTTTGAAGAGGATTTGGCTCTGACTGGATGTAGCTTGGTCAGGTATCAACTGACCAATGTAAGCAGAGCTCTCTACTTCGCGGAAAATCTAATGAAAAGAAGCCTTTTCAAACTAGTCTCGCGTGGAGGGGCACAATATGAATGGATATGCCCACCACTTGACTCGATTGCAACCCCGAATCCCAAAGCAATGAATGAGGTCTTGCTCGGAATGTTGATCTATACAGGTGGTCAGTTTAGAATGAACATAAAATCCCCTTTTTTTTTTGTCCTTGAGTAGGTGCTAAATGCACTTTTCGAGGACAATGCTGTGCGAGGCTGACCAAAAGAGGCGACAAGAAGTTGAGTCAACATGAACAAAAAATTGCCAGCTAATATCTGGCAATTCGGGAAATAAATTCAAAATGATTTTTCAAACATAACATAGTAAAAAGAAGGAAGAAGATCAGAATTACTAGCCTTCATGAACGGGATTTACATAAGCCCTCAATAGTATTCATTTTATCAATAAAACAATGTCATTTTTGGAATATTCGCAAAAAGACTTGTTTCTTGAAATGGTACTGAACTACTCTTTCAAACCTGGTACACTCTGACAAAAAACAAAAGGTTTTGGAAATACTCGTAATCCAGTTGTCGCACAAAAGATCATGCATCAATTTTTATATTCAGTACCTCCTGATAACTGAGAAATACTTTATTATAAATTTCGAATAATTATGTAGGATCCGCTCATTTACTCACTTATTCATCCATAGATTCATTATTCATTATTCTTTCTATTGATTTATCTATAATTCGATCGTTTGATCCGATTCACTCATATATCATTCATTTGCAAATTCGTTCTCATGTTTTAATTATTTTATTTGTCTCTCTAGTTATCCATTCTTCTATCCCATTCAATCACTTATTATTTTATTCAATTATTTATCAGTCTATTTATTTATCCACACTTTCAATTTGATCCATTCGTTCAACTATCACTCACTTTAATTCATTCGTCCATGAATTCATTTATTCATTCATTCATTTATCTATCTACAGAAAAAACCAGTTGTGGACAAATAAGAGCAAACACTTGAAGTGAGACATGCGGAGTTTATACTCATTATTGAGGTCACAATCTACAATCTACAATTTTCTGGAAAACAATCTTTCCATAGTTTCCAATAGCTTTTATATGCCTTAATAAGCTCAAAATGTATGCATGGATAGAATCTAAGCCTTTCAAAGTAAAGCGTACTTTTTCAGGCGAAGCAATTCCGTTTAAATTTCTTCAAAAGAGTTTGAGTAAAATTGCCGACTTTTTTGCATGCATATGATTTGAGGGCCAGTTTTCGTATAGACAATCTAGTTTCTGGAAGAGCAACAGACGGCGAAGGTATCGGCCGTAAGTCACCACTAATCCTAGACAGCGAACAGGAAATCTTCTCCTAATGACTATGTTGATGCTCAA